ATCTAGTAATGTATCGTGTTAGCTAGCTATATCGCCCGATAGTAAATAACCCAATTCGAATTGCTAGCTAGGTATATCGGGTAGTATATTGAGTTAGCTAGCTAGATCGCCCGATAGTTGATATTTTTTTTCTCCTTGGGCTATTTTACGATCAAGAGTCAGATTTGAAATTTGTGATAATTTCCGAAAAGCGTTCATAACTCAGCCTAGGAACATTGTTTGACTTCGAACTAACATCAGATACTATACAATGTCAGTAGACTAGCCATCTAAAGTATGAAGGTTAGCTATTGTATGGTTCCAGAAATCTACTGTGAACAAGAAGATTCTGATATAACACATATATGAAACGAAGCTTGAGCTAAACGTCGTCCTTTCTAATGCAGAATCTTCATTCAATCTACGTCACAATCATGCTAATATATAGTCATGGAAACCTAAGCCAACAGAAAACGCAGTTAAACCTTTGTCAAGATTTCACCCTTGAACTTTGCTTAGAAAAATATAGAAAGTAAAGAAGATGCAAAATAAGTGAAACAAATGTGAGCGAGAGTTATATCTTATGAACCATCCATTCAACAAGGCTTACACTTGCTGGATGATGTGCATCCAATGAGAGCTATGATCATACAAAATTAGAAGCCCTTAGCTATCATCGTTCGAAAGACCGGACAATGGCCATAATTTTACGAACTGTTGAAAATATATTGTTACCTGTCTGAAAGTATATTTAGTGGTATGCTTGGCATTACTCAAATTCAGACATCTGTAATAATTTTGTTAATAAATACTGTCATGATATTTTTCGGTTTAGTACCGTTTAAAATTGATTTACGACAGATCATAAGAGTAAAAACGCCATCACCATCGTGCCCTTATATTGGTAACAGATCTTATTGTCTAATCATTAAGGGGATTCAATTGGGACGTTTGGGCAATAATCTGTTTACTTTAGCCAGTACCTATGGTCTTGCTCGAACTCATTCATGTTATTTGTATGTTGATAAACAATCTATACAGAAACTTAAACGGGATTTTGAACTAAACCTATGCAACACGCTAAGCGAATCTGATTATATAAACCAAACAGCAAACAAAACGATTCTACGAAAATACACCCATTGCGCTTATTATCCGAATTTAATGAAAACGAATTTTTCTATCAAGTATTTTCAGGCGGATGGCGGATGGCAATCATATTTATATTTCGTCAATTATACGAACGAAATTCGACAACTATTCACATTTCGGTCACATATCGTGAGTGAAGTAGCTGTATTCTTTCGTTATATTTATAAAAATCGCACAGAAACTAGTTCAAAGAGACACGTCACACAGCTTGAGTTAAAAAATGAAATTATTTCATCCGGAAATACATGGGTCGGAGTCCACATTCGAAGAGGTGATTATCTACGCGGTGGTAAGAACGTGTCATCGTCAAATTTCATCCTGAATGCTATGGATTATTTTGTTAAAAAATATGGAAATAAAACCATATTTATCCTTACCAGTGACGATAAACGTTATTGTAAGATAACATTTGGAAATCTAACAAACACTTATATCTCACCAAATACATTTTCACCGGCTGAAGATCTAGCTATACTGACTATTTGTCAACATACAATTTTTACTATAGGGACTTTTGGATGGTGGGGTGGCTTTTTGTCTAGTGGTGAAGTAATTCATGATATAAAATCTCCTAAAGATCCTAGACCACGGGAAGTTGGTTGCGCAAGAGAAACATATTTTGCCCCTTGGTTTTCATATTTAAATACAACAACGTAGTGTCTTCACGCATCTACAGTTTTTTTCTCAAAATATTGTACGGTGGACTGCCCCAAATAAAAAATCTTGACTGCAGATCTTGATAAAAACTTGAAAGATTTCTTAAATTTCTGTTCAGTTCTTTCAAGATCTTATGCAGCTTTATTGATATCTGACAAGATTCTGAGATCATTTTGCGGTTTAATATCGTCGATAAGTTTTATTGTAGAATCTGCCTTGAAAAAACTTGATCATGTATAAATCTTGAATAGTTTTGGGTTGGTTAGGTATTATTTTCATTTATTTATATTTTTATCTACTGTATTCTATAGGGCAGTCTGTAGTAAGGCGCGCTTTAGTCAAAGATTCCGTGACCTCTTAGATTTCTTCTAAACACACATATTCTGCATTCGGTGGAGTCTGCTGATCACGAATATGACCTTATTTTTCCGATTTGACCTTGTCTTCAATATGGAAAATGCAAAATACTGAGCAGGAGTCAAAAACGCAAAAAACGTTCTTCTATAGAAATTGTTCGTAATTTTTTTTTCTTTGCATTTTAAAACTCTAAGAGCCATCTTTACCAAATCCTTGAGTAAAACTGGTCTGAGAAATGTTTTTATACCAGTTTACTGCCTTGCCTATTACTTGAAAAAAAATCATCAATTGGAACAACCAAAAATGAGACTCTCTGCTTCCCAGGCTTTATCGTCCCTCCCATTATGTATTTAAATTTTTTTATAGTGCGTTGGAATCCGCTTTCAAAGGCGCACAGAATCATACATTGCTTTTTTTTAAAATTTTGTTCCGTTGCTGAGAAAATTGATGTTTTCTAAATCAGAGGCCAAAAACTCGGAATTCTGCCGGTAATTCTCAATTTTCTCGATCAAAGCTCAAGTTGTATACAATAAAATATCCAATTCGGAATCAGGATCAAAACCATTGATATGTATTTCACAAATGTTTAGTTGATTTTCAATTTTGGGTGAAAATTTCGGTAATTTTTCGATGTAAGAATTTTCGAACGTTTCGAAAAATTCAAAAAAAACAAAATTGTTGGATAGGATAGACATACATATCAATCGACTCAAATTTTTAATTAATTATGAACAGTTTCTGTAGGAGAACGTTTTTCGCGTTTTTGAGAGGATACTAGTGAAATATTTTTTTGGGGACTCACTCTCATGTCGATATCAGCCATTACCGTTTAAGTGTGGTAGGTATAAAGGATGACAAGGTTACTTCTGAAGAAAATTCCTTGGAACTGAAGGGCCCACTAACGTTTTCAAACGCTGAAATAATGACAGAGGAACGTGTGAAATATTTTTATCTGTGTACTTAGTTTTAACATAAGCCTCAAAAGTTGAACTAGGTTATGTAATTAATGTTTATAATCGTTTTAAATACTATAACCTATCCACTTATTTGCCACAATCGGAGTCTCGAACAATGAGAGGTTTTTGCGCAAGATACTCATGTATTTTTGGGGATTTCCACTATCACCTAAAAAGGTTGATATCTTCTTCTACTTCTACTACACCGTTTGCTCTATCCAGGGAAACCTGTTTGTTTTCTTTTTTCTATAGTATAATGGAGTTTTTGAAGACTTTATTAGGTCTATGCTAAAAAATCCTTCAGAAATCAGTCCATGGTATTAAGAGAGTTTTTGCATCGTTATATCATATTAAGTTTCTCAACCATTTCTTTGTGTCTCAGAAGACAAAACATGATAGTAATAAAAAAAATGTCATATCAGCACAAAGAGTAGGATGATGTCATGCTTGAGTAGACATATAGATACTTCTTTCTCTTCGCCTAAGAAGAAATAAAGGCACGTTGTAGATGCAAACAATTGCAAAATATGAGAGAAAAATAGTATAACAATGAGTAAGAAAATATTTATTCTTTCCTTCTCTAGTAGTAAACAATAAAATGTTGCCAATCCTTGAATAACTTTTGTATTGACTATGTAAAGCTATAAAAGTTTATCTTGTGTTTTGAAAACTTAAGTTTTTCTACTTTTTATATGCAAGGATAGTTAAACGGCATTTTTATGACGTCTAAGCTTTACGATCCATCGGTCTGAAAGTTCATTTGGCATTATGCGTAATAAAGAAGAATGCTATTTCTCGAAAGGTACAATCTTTAGAGTTTCAGCATATCTTGGATTAATCGGTATTTTCATTGTTTTCCAGTTTTTTTCCTTACAAAATGTAGGAGGCAAGAAGTTTCGGTTAGTCAATTCTGCTGAAATCGCTGCTTGAAATGTACTCCTGTATTGATAATCATGTAGTGGACGAATTTCTGTTTGTAGGAAAAAAATGTTTCATTTGTCCATAGTATTTGACCTACTTTTCTGCTGTGTCTTATTTCCTTTTCTATTCCTTATCGGTTATTTGTATTATGTACATTACAAACAACGACAAATATATGATGTCTGGAAATCACAGGGTATACCTGGTGAACCTTATAGACCCATTATTGGCCAAATGGCTGCAATTCGTCGTTATCACCTTTCAGATACAATAATGCAGTATCAATTGGATCAACAAGCAAAATATGGTAATGTTTCCCAAATACAATTGGGCCCCGTGCCACATCTAGTGTTGTTCGATCCAGACTTGATTTCGGATGTTTTGAAAAAACATGCTAAGAATTATACTAAAACAGAAATATTTCGTACAGTTTTCAAACCGATTATCGGTCTTAATAATCNAATGGCTGCAATTCGTCGTTATCACCTTTCAGATACAATAATGCAGTATCAATTGGATCAACAAGCAAAATATGGTAATGTTTCCCAAATACAATTGGGCCCCGTGCCACATCTAGTGTTGTTCGATCCAGACTTGATTTCGGATGTTTTGAAAAAACATGCTAAGAATTATACTAAAACAGAAATATTTCGTACAGTTTTCAAACCGATTATCGGTCTTAATAATCTATTTGTCAGCGATGGACAACAGCACGAACAGTCTCGTCGTATGATACAACCGGCTTTTCATTTTGTCAAACTTCAGTCAATGATTTCCATAATGACGCAGAAAACAACTGAAGCCATTGATGAATGGCTATTAACATTTACAGCCGAAAAAAAAGAATTGGATTTACCACGGGAACTCAACTCACTCACATTATCAATTATAGCCTCGTCGGCGTTCGGAGAAGGTTTCGAGACAATACAAGATGGAAAACGGATTATCTGTAACTTGTTCACACACGTTGTGGAAGCTACACAATGGCGGTCGATGAATCTGATCAATCAAATTCCTCTATTATCGAAACTGCCGTTGTGGAAAAAAGATATTGTGGACAATGGTGCAGCTGAAATAGCTAAATTTGTAAATCAAATAATACTCGATCGAAAAACTGGCAAAAGTCATTCAATTTGCTCGGGTAACGATCTTTTAGATTTGTTACTGTTAGCAAAAGATGATGATGATAATGGATTGAGTGATCAAGAAATACAAGAACAAGCTTTGACATTTGTTCTGGCTGGACATGAGACAAGTGGCAATTTGATGGCGTGGTGTTTATACGTTCTCATGACCCATCCGAAAGTCTATGAAGCTTGTCAACAAGAAGTCGATGAAATACTAAAGGGTCAACTACCTGTTTATTCACAACTTAATGAACTGGAAATTATTGATGCTGTTCTCCATGAAACTCTACGGCTATATCCACCAGCACCATTTTTTTCTCGACAATGTGTCGAAGAACATTCGATCGGTGAAGGCACAGGAACTCCGATTCGAATTCCTGTGGGTGGAGTGGTTTTGTTCAATCTATACGTTTTACATCGGTCTGAACAATTCTGGAATGATTCACTAAAATTCGATTACAAAAGATGGATGAGATCATCTGAAACCGGACATAGACCAAAACTAGCTCATCCCTTTTGCTATTTACCATTTGGAGCTGGAAATCGAAATTGCATTGGACAAAATTTTGCCATGCTAGAAACAAAAGTAATTCTGGCGATATTACTACAACGTCTAAAATTTGAAATCGTACCAGGACAAAAAATTGTACCGGATGTTAAAATCACAATGAAGCCAAAATATGGTTTGTTAGCTAGAGTAACCAGTCGAACCTGATAAAAAATATTTTTTTCTTACTGTAAGCTGTTTTTCTCTATTCTGTACTCGCTATACAGTGAGTGGAAAAGTATCAAAACAATAGATGTTTTTCAACTTTGATTCGTTTTTATTTGCTCAGTAAGTGTTCGTGCGATCACGTTTTCACGTCTATTTCAATACTTATTGCAGAAATAGAATTTATGTTTACGTGCTATTTGAAAGCGCAAACTCTGGACTGCATCATGCACGAATAATTACAATAATTAGTTGTTTTATGTCTGATGGATGAAATTGTGTTTCTAATTAATTAGTCTAAATCTAAAGAAAACAATTATTTTCTCTGCCTAAAACTCATCGAAAATAACTTTGAATACCCTTGGATAGTCCTTGAAAAACAGCATATACCTGTTGTAGTCTAAATAAAACTAACTAGTAATCTCATGTCGTCTAAATCGATTTACTTTTCCCACTCACTGATAATATTCTGAGCATCACTTGAGTTTGGTTGCTGGACCCTTCCATAGTAGCCAAAAATGTTATTCCACGAAAACAACGGCTTCTTTTCGACTTTTCAGCTCTTTCTCCATAGGCCAAACTCTACATTGGTACATGAAAGATTGCTTTTTACAGCGCATGTTGAATAAAGCGTTATGAACGAAAAACGTTGAGGTTGTCTTCAAATTTTATTTCTTCATTGTTGACGTGTATAAACAATCTCAATCATTACACAAAATTCTTTTTTCAGTTCCGCAAACAGAGTCAGATGACGAGAACCAGGTCGTTTCTCGATCAAAAAATGGTTTCCTTGCAGGAACAATCAGTGGGTGGCACGTGTAATGACACGTGGTCGTATAAGTGATGATTCAGCCGTTGTTAACGCTTGCACACGTTTTCGACGATTATTAAATACTGTTATCCCGAACTTTCAGACATTAAAGGACTATCATGTCTGGTATTAGAATGATAAATGTAGTGTTAAAAGTGGAATAAAGCATAGATTAGAAAACCTTTTATATCTGTTAAAACTATGAAATGAACAACAAAACTCGTCTTTAGTGCAGAAGAATGCACAGATCCTGTACGAAAAATTCGATATAAGCCCACCTGTCACATTTTGTACATCACTTAACAATGGTGTACCATGCGAACAACATTTTCGGACAGACTAGTTTTTTTATATTGTTAATAAGGTACTAAAATTCAATTAAATACTTCAAGTATTACATAAGTCAATGAAAGAATTACTATTACGAAGCTGCACTATTTTCGGCCACGAGAATTACAAGATCAACAAGTTCACAGACATGATGTGTGATCGAGGTCAGCTGGTTGCATCTCAGGAATTGGATTTGATATGCAACAGTAATATCGCTTATATGGTAAGAAACTCCGTTTTCTCTACCAACAGTGACAGTGAGGCGGCTTTAATGTACGACGGCGAGAGTTTCGACACTCATTAAATCTTGGAGGCATTCGGATGAGAATATTATCGGTGATGTGAGTTGGTGCTTTTCGAAATTCATGTTGATTTTCGTTTAAACTAAAAGCTATTAGCTACCCTTACAACAGAAAACAGTATGGCGCTCAAGTCAAAGATTCCGTGACCTCTCAGATTTCTTCTGAACACATATATTCTGCATTCGGTGGAGTCTGCTGATCACGAATATGGCCTTATTTTTCCGATTTGACCGTGTCTTCAACATGGAAAATGCCAAATACTGAGCAGGAGTCAAAGACGCAAAAAACGTTCTTCTACAGAAATTGTTCGTAATTTTTTTTTCTTTGCATTTTAAAACTCTAAGAGCCATTTTTACGAAATCCTTGAGTAAAACTGGTCTGAGAAATGTTTTTATACCAGTTTACTGCCTTGCCTATTGAAAAAAAATCATCAACTGGAACAACCAAAAATGAGACTCTCTGCTTCCCAGGCTTTCTCGTCCCTCCCATTACGTATTTAAATCTTTTTATAGTGCGTTGAAATCCGCTTTCAAAGGCGCGGATATAGATGGAAGATTACTATTGAGTGGATGCGCACGGAATTACCACTTATAATAAACTGGATCCAAGCCCACTTTCTTGCTTCATTCACGGCAATTTGCGATCGTGTGGCGATAATAGCGACTTTATAATGGTCGCGGTGCGACTTCGCGTATTCAAACAACAAAAAATGTGCTGACTTTGATCGAGTCCTTTGAAAGGTTCTGCTGTGGAAATCTTGAACTGTTTTTACGTCTGTGAGTAGACCGAAATCTTGAGAGTCTTACGGTAGTTCTCTTATAAAATTTGGATTAAAACTGACTGAGTTATGAAGAATAAATTGAACTAGAGTCATATATATATATATATATTAGGTATGCAACGGTAACGGTAATCGTACCCTACCGATTACCGGTACAACCGGTTAATGAGACCTTACTGAGTACATTTTGGAAATATTGAAACGTGCAAGAAATAAAAAACTGCCAATGATCATGTATTATCGATTAGGATTTGGTATTGGAACTGAAATACGCGTATTTCAGTAGGTATCGCGATACCTATCTTCTGTGAATAAACTAGCCAATAGTGGTCTAGAATTGTATAAATACATCTGTGGAAAAATTGATCCTAATTTGCTATACTTATTTGATGGCTTAGTTGCAATTAAACTGGATGACAGATCCTGTAAACATCTGGAGAAGAAAAGGGATATTGATGCTGTGGTTAATTAAGGTTGATCAAACAAGCATATAATCAATAAATTGGTAAAAATAGGCATGCAACGGTAACGGTAACCAGTCAGGACAGGTAACCGGTTGTCAATCGTTACCGTTGCATGCCAATTATACATAATCCCCAAAAAACTAAGATTTCTTCTTCCTCTCGTCACACATCATCCCTTTTACCTACTATATCAGAACAAGCAAGAAGGAAGTATACTCGGGGCTGGCCGGGGATTGAATGATGCTGTTCACATGTCACATTGTTATCCAAATTAGTGATCGCCCAATGACACATAAGGTTCAGCGATATTTTTGAACGAAGCTGACCTGCGGCCCCTCGTACCCCAGGCGAGAGTCATATCACTGAGCCCACACGTCGTCTTGTTAAAATGAAGTTCTTAGCTCAAAATATTTTCGGTTGACATCGTACTCTGTGATGTGATCGAAACGTTTGTTGCTCATGCAAGTAAGTCAAAATATTTAGCGTTGCATTTAAAGTTTGATATTTGGACACCGACTTTGTAATTTCCACAGTGCTTCCCGCGATTGAAAAGATCCCTATATTGACTATGTTTAATACTTTGACAAGTTGCCCCTTTGCGTATGATGGAACAAGGTAAGGCAAAATCACGAATCACAATAGGAAAGGAAAAACCTTCCACTAACGCTACAAAGACCACTGAAAACAGCATTACACTCAGTACCCTATGTGACGATTCTTTGTCACAACCTCTTCTTCCAGTACGTACATCTGTCGGTAGGACTACTCCCTTTTGTTTCGTTCTCTCCCTTGTCTGTTTTCGTTCTTTCTCAGCTTTCTTCTTTTGCTGTTCTT